GGTCTTTCTTGTGGGAATTCCGGATTTCAAGGAACCCAGCTGGAGAACTGAAGATGGAGATAAAAATTATAAACTATTTTCCTTAAGCATCTATCAGAATTTTCAACTAAGAGCGTTATATCTGAAAGGTTGAAGATGTTTGAATATTGCTAGATATAAAAGGGTATTTGAATATTGGAAAGTGGAAGTCATTTCCCCTCTCATGCAGTCTTATGGATAGGTTCTGTCTCTCTGGATCAATTTATTGCGGATTGGAGTGGAACTTTGGAGTCTAGTATGAAAGAGCATTGTAACTACGAGAGTTGACAGACAAGTTCTAGGCCAATCACAGAATGAATTGAATGAAAGTGAAGTCACTGGTTTTGCACATTACATGATAACAGAAAGGTATATCCAGAAAAAAGTCAAACCTTTGAGAAATTGTTTTCCTGTGACAAGTCAGTAAAATGAGAAGGGGTCTGTGACATTTGGAGAATGAACAGACTTGAAACATCTGTGTTTGCATTGTGCAAAATTAATTCATCCAAGTAACCAAGGATTAGGGCTGCGCAATATAACCGGTTTACCGGTATATACCGGTTCAGACATGAAAACTATACGTATTGCGATACGCTGATTGAAAACCGGTATTTTGACATGCATTCGAAAAGACTTCGTAACACTCGGAAATCTTCGGATATTTCCGTATTATAAAATGTTACTTTCCTTTTTTTATTTGTGCCAAATATTATTTACATTTTTATTTTGTCATGATTAAAAGTTTTTAGTAAAGCTTAATCAAGCATGGTGATTTTGTTGTGTTTTTGCTTTATAAATCAAGCATTAACTCGATTATAAGTAGTTTTTTGTTAAAAAAGAACTTCTTACAATATATTGCAATACATATCGCAATATATGCTTTCGCATCGCAATATATTGCAATATGAAAATTCTCTGCAATACCCAGCCCTACCAAGGATACTGATATATTCCCTACTACCAGTGTATGAAATAAGCCAAAAACCCAGCCAGACATCTGGGCTGGTAATTTAAAAAACTTACCAGCCCGGAAGAAATTTAACCAGTCCTTCTTAAAAAGTAAATAGACAGTGCCAGTGGACATGTTATCTGAATATTTTTGTCACCCGTCCATGGGGCTGGTTAGCTAACCCGTCTCGGGCGGTCGGACCTTAATCCATACACTGCTATCACTAAGTTAAAGGACAATGACGTTAATTTGTGTACTTAGGTTTAATGAATTTCTTTCTTTTCTTTGCACCATCGTATACTATTCGTATGACACCAATCACCAACACTGAACTTGTTCTTATTACACGTTTAGTTTATCACACACGCGAGAATATACTGCTTTGAAATGCCACAGGCACGTTGTCAGTGGAAATCAAAGAATGAGGTAAGATTAATTATACTATATGTTTTATAAATGCTTCATCCTATATGAATGTTCGTAACGATAATGAATGTATGACTTTTAAAAAGGTATTCCCGAAGAGTTAATGTGCATTTCCTGTCATCATTTCTGATACAACTGCTTCACTCCACGAAAAACGAGTTCAGATGACAAGTATTGCATTAAATGAATCATTCCCAGTAGTACCTGTATTTTCGTTTGCTTGTCCAGACACGATTACTGCTGATGAAATAGCTTCTGTACATTTGGGACAATACCGACTGTGGTCAGTAAATATGCCTACTAGGCTCTATTACGACATCAATATGACATTCTGAAACATGTTAAAATGAAAGTTAACGAACGGACTACAGTTCCAGAGATATGAGGAGACGATTATAAAATATCGAGACGATTCTCATCACATCTCCCCAAAGATCTCTCTCAGAGTTTTAACCCATATTTGCGAGGTTAATCAAGTACATTAGAATAACAAATGTGGAACTGATGCGAACACAAAACAGATACTTGCATCGTAAATCACTTTTTCCAACTAAATCATTATTAGTAAAATACTTGGTCACGTATTATTTCAATACAAATTGAAATAACTAATAAACTTAAATTGAAGAGTGCAGAAATCAATAAAGTGAATCACCGAAATTCAGCAAAATGTAAACGTCAAACACTCTTTGACGCATTAAGCAATTTGAAAAACATTCTTGTTAATGTATTAATGAACTAAAGTTTGTTATTGAAATATTTCAAGACCGAATTATGGGCTGAAACATAATCAACAGAGTTTCGCTGTACGGAAATAATGATTATATCTGTCGATTATTTCATCCGGAAAGTTTACGAAATCATCTAAACCTCGCACAAACTATAGAGCGCCAACATCGACCAGACATCAATCAAATATAATTTAATCTAACTCGGAAACCGGCTTGTGTCATTTGTTCTCGGCCTGTCACGGCCCCACCATCCTTTACAGCCTTTACGAACTTCACACAACATGAACCAGTCTGCCCTAAATGTGATGGAGAGAGACTTGAATTAATATTTCTCATCCATTTGGGGTAAGACTTTCATGCAGCCAGACTTCATGGAGATAATAACAATATTACTATTATTAGTTTTGTTTCAACCTAAATTGGACGACTATTAATTCGAAGAGTGTATGGGGAAGCATGTTATCATGAAAAAGAACTCAACATGTTAAAAGAAAAACCGACAACTTCAAAGATTCATGATTTTCTTATCCTTATTCGTTTTAGCAATGATTAAGAAAAGCTCAAAACATAGAATCCGCTAGGACTCCGCGTCGTAATCCCTCAATCGGTGACTGGGAGAGGTTTGAGAATAATTGGCGTCCTAATGTCAATATGGCGTCTCAGCTGATAAACAGCGACAGCTCAGGTCTGGGTTTATCACAAGCTGAAATTCATACAAAGACAGTTTGTCCATTTTATGTCACACCCAACCCTCTCATTATTCACAAAATCATCCTACAAGCAAATTAACGCTCACAGAGATTGCAAGACCAAAGGTTAACTACGTCATTGATGTCGACCTGATCTTTGCAACTTGGGGCTTCACGCCAACGTTTGAGATCATACCTCTGCCTTTGATCATGATATACCTTAACCTATGATTTCTGTTGTTCTCACTTGCTGCTTGTATTCTATGAGGGTTCGCCTGTTATTAAACCGCACTCCATATGAATCTATTAACTAAGAAATCAATAGTGATCAGGTCCGGCTTAAGGTGTTACCAGTAAAGCTTGATATTGGTCCTTTAGACAAGGCAATCAATTACATGGGCTGATGGGTCAATGTCTATTTTTACATCATGAAAGATATGAAATGTTACACCGTGTGCTCCTTATGCTTGTGAATTTCATTCGTGTAGTTATGTCGTTAAATGGCTGGACTAGTGCCGATGAGACGCAGAAGTTCCATTAAAATAATTTCGAAGTGGTAAGTTTAGGGCTTATTTCGAGACTGACCCACAAAATCGATGTTTCAGTTTTACATATATATTAACAATACTATTGTTACCAGGTTGAAGTGCATATTTCCGACTTTGTCACTTTGAAACTGACAATCGTCTGATTGGTTTGTGGGTACTGGAAATTGCATTTCTTGTGCAAGGAAATGTTATTCTTTACTAGCAATTGACTATGCAACTTTTTAGGTGATATCCATGAGCTGCTTATAATGAACAAAATGGTTTGATTTACAAGTTTACTGAACTTGTCCAATAACAAGATATTTTTAAAGTCTCTTTATGAAAATGAACATAATCCAAATATCATTGATGTTCGTGAACAAAACAAATGTAACCATAGATATACCATGTAATAGCCTTAAGAAGAGTGGCCCATTAGGTACGCCCCGAAACAAAAATACTGGATATTGGATATTTTGTACAATAATTACATAAGGATGGTAGGACAGAATAAAAGTACGAACTGCCAATGTTGGGTCCAGTGTAACGTTGATGCTGGCATGTTTCAAGGGACTTAACCTGTGAAGATCCGGGTTAGAATTGGTCTTAAACAACCCTTGCTTGTCGTAAGAGGCGACTAACGGGATCGGGTGGTGGGGCTTTCTGACTTGGTTCACACATGTCATCGTATCCCAGTTGCGTAGCTCGATGTTCACAATGTTGATTACTGGATTTTCTGGTCCAGACTAGTATATCGCTGGAGTACTGCTGAATGCGGCGTTAATAACAAACATTTAAAAGGACTAAGACCAACTGATACCACTCATATGGAACATTTTAGTCTCTCCTCCAGGAATCAAAAGGACTGCACAAGTTAAGAACAAGACCATACTTCGTTGAAAGGGTACTTTCAATAGGCATCCCAATAAACACCAGTTAAATATGAATAAGAATGCCTGCGTAGATGAGCAATGTCAAAACAATGGACATTGGCCAGGACCTTTCTCTTAGGCTTTAGGGATATTGATGATTGGCCCGTAATGGTAAAATAGCCAGTGCCATTCTACTGATTGATCCATATGACTAAGACCTAAAAGGACTAATGGAGGCACCTTATCGTTTTCGTATTCAGATCAACACGAAACGGTTCAGAATGACTGAATGACAAGAGGGATGACTTCATCTGTCCTCTTTGTCGAGGAATATTCCAGCAGCTCTGACGCATCAGAGGCAAGTATCTTGTTCCCTTTTTTGTACCATGTGTTTCGTGTTTGCCCAGGCAAATAGTTGACATGCCTTTGAATTTCTTTGTGACCACTCTTTCACCGTGTCGTAAACACATGGTATCATCGCTATTCGATAGTGATTCAAAAACGTGTTTGTGCTATTGTCGACATCGTACACTGGTCAATGCTTTTAGTGGGAATTTCTTACCATTCCGAAAAGGTCTGCTTTGCATTTTTTTACATCAAGGAAAGCCAAGATAACTAAGCGAATATGAGCAACATCCCGTCCAGGGGAGTCCCATTGACCAGGACATCCATATGGCGGTTCTTATGTTACGTCACTGTCACTGGGGATCATATGTAGCTCGAAATCCCCAAGGGGTTACTTCTGTGTTAACAAAAGGAACATATTTCAAAGACGTATCATTGCTTACCTATATGGTGACGTCATAGTTTGCAGCTGCTGCGTGCTCATCCACAGTATCCAGATCACTCGGATGTAGCAGAACATGAGGACGATTGCGGGGATGATGAAAAGCAGGCACAGTTGCCACACGCTGTAGACGAGGCGACCGGTGTCGGGGATGCCCACGTCGGCACATAACACGACCACCACGGATGTTGCGTTGTTGCGGTATAAGATGGATTCCGTGTCCTGTAATAGAGGCATATACTTGTGATAGAGTAACGATATCGATGAGACAATAAGGAAATAACTTTCGAGCTGTATAGTTATACAACAGCGTCATCGTATGTTACTTAACATAGTCTCATAGCACATTACGGTTATATAACGGATAACTACACTACTCTACTGTCAGATTCAATGCAGTATGAGCTCATTTGTGGACATTGCTATAGGAAAACATGGAAAAACCGTTGCTAGACCATGTTAGAGTATGGAAATGCTGTTTCTCATCTTGTTGGACTTTAAAGTCAATTGTGTATGAACCATCATTGTGAACATGATTGTGATCGTGATTAGTACTTTAACAATTTCTTATATTTACACAGTTACATAATGCTAAACATTGTGTATGTATTACGTATGATTAATAATTTATCAATTTATGCATGCTGAACATAAAAATACAAATGATAATCCACTTGTGTCTTTCTTGGCTTGGTCATCTCCTCCCCCATCCTACCCCACCATTGTCTTGCTAATTAACATGGTCTGGTGATCCTCTTACTCCTTAAATATACAACTTGCCCGACTGGCAACAGAGGAACACCCCGTATGAGCAACGACACACGTCATCGGATTACGACAACAGTGTATCAGCTAGGCCACAAACCATAACACCGGCACTGAAGGAGGCTCCAGATCGTATTAACACGTAGAAATGTTTATCTGTGGAATCTGTAGGCCCATCAGGATATGAATCTCAGATTGAGAAAAAGGACGGACGTTACCAACGGACCACAGATATCGTCCATATAGATGCAGTGCAGACTATCTCATTGCAGCCGACAGTTTCACGTGTCAACTATAATTTTAGTCGTCCACTGTCTATTTGGACGGAATAATGACTACTCAAATAAAGATCAGTTTGCTTTAGTGCGTAAAACTTTGGGTTGTCATTATAGTACTATCCAGGGACATTGAACATTGTTCATGTTGTCATCGGCACGCCTGTGATGGTCTATGTTGCCGATTAGAATATAACGGGTGAGGCTAGAACTGCGACAAAATATAACATGTACGCTAAATTTGCATATGCCATGCCTACATATATTACATTTGACGCTTTTGTTTAAGGGGAGCTTGTATGTTCAATGGCAACTGATGCAATAACCACAAGATACAAACCAGTTTCCACTTTGAAGAAAAGACCTAAATTTATTTTCGCAATATGTAATATTCAGTGCTATTATCGAAATAGAACATCGGACTTATATTTATTATGGCGCTTCATGGCTTAAAGATTCATCGTGCAAGTACGACATTAACGTGCATCTTGACAACTACTTCGTCAAATTTGTTTTTGAACAAGACGTCCTCTTCGAAGCAAACTTCAATAGTTGCCTCTAAAATCAATCTACTTTCATTTACGATGTATTGAACTTTGATCGAAACTGACGCGGCTAACTAAAGTGATAACATGAAAATGATTAAACTTCTTTAACCCACGTCAGAGCCGTTTGAGACATCTCAGGCACATCAACATTGTGAGGAGTATAAAGTTATATATTTGGAAAGTGAAAACATTTAAAGCAATCAACAAATTCAATTGAAATAAGAAGCTGAAAATACTTAAAACGACAATGAATTTTGAAACGAATTTATAAAAAAAACTACGGATTTATCAGTCGCTACATTCAAATAACAATGATCGCGTCTGATTGAAACAGATGATGATCACGGAAGCTGAAACGTACTTCTTTATGAAAACTCTTCAAAATGCATTTTGTCTGTACAAATAATTTGTTACACAATGCGGGCTACGTAACAATTGAAGTATTTGTGAAAAATCATCGTTGGCAGAACCACGATAGAAAGAGAGCAATAGACCACAAAGAGCTTGATAACTCTCAATAGAGACTTCACATCTTTACATCACTATGTGCGTAACAATTAAACAGCGACACGGCAATGATCGCTACCTAGGCCTGTGCCCACAGTATTACTATGCATCCGTGGAATGTCACGTGATTTGTCATCTTGACCTGCATGTATATTGAACTAAAAGTAAAGCTACGCCATTCATATCGCCCCTCGTGCTCTACGACAACCATAAATTAGTTTAACCTTAACGTAAAGCGTCTAGAAACATTATATCAGTGGTATCATGGATAACGTGGGTCCTAACGTAAGAGGAGCAGACACGTCAGTTGGCCCTGAATGAGAATTGTTCATTTCAGTCACCGACAGCATCGATTTCTATCTGCTTTGTGCCTTAAATTATTCTGTAAGTATTAAATTGGGCATTTTAGAAAAGAAATACAGTTCGCTAATTGATTTTACATTCTGATCAAACGCCTAACAGTCCAAAAAGTACATGTGTATACCAAATTAGTTTGATGCCTTTTTGATGTGTATTTTGCTTTCTTTCAGACTTTTGTAATTTCTTATGAGGATCGCTAATAACCAATCACAGGAAATTATATGTTTTTCTCCAGCGAAAGCACCAAATTTGCATGGCGCCTAAATTTCAAATTTCAGTATAAATAATTAGAACATTTTTTAGAAAAGCCATGTTATACTTCTTCAAATGAAAGAGGAAGCTTTAGATATTTGCTCTTAAATATCTCAATACGACAAATAAGACGCCATATCTCCCATATGGATTATAAAATAACTATCATGGAATATCATGGCATAGAAAGCTCCCCCAGAACATGTCCACTTACTTTTTCATACCAGTGCTTACTGTAATTAATTTTGCGCATTTAAATGAGGACACGTCTTTTAAATGTGTACAAAACTGGCACGTGGTGTGATTGTATGCCATTAATTGGCGTCTGAGAGTCTCCAGCATGTCGCTAACACCTTGCGATCTTAAAAGCTTAGAATCCCGCGATCACCAGTGATTTCGTAAGATTTAAGAATCCATGTCAGGATATGAGTACTTGATGTAATGAGACAAACAGCAACATATAGGCTATAAATAAGTCTGCTCAAGGACAGACATTTTCCGAAGACCACTGAAAAAATACGGGAGATAATCTGTTACCTCCGTACGCCAAGAAAATAAGTATTTGTTCTCAAGGTTAGATCCATCTAAATTGTAGACTAAATACTGAAGCCGGCGTCCACTACTTGTAATTAGTGAAACCAGGCGACCACCATGTAATATTCAAACGCAATACTTCAAGTGACAACAGTTTCAAAACATTTCTGCATTTTCGAGTTAAAGTGTTATTGTGATTGGTATTCATTACCCAATAGCCATTCCCGTACTAAATAAGGGTTAGTACATAGTAAAGCAGAATTGAAGTGTCAGTACAAAGCCTTATTCCTTCTTTTCGATACAGAAAAGAGCTATCTGACAATCATCAACCTTTTATGTGTAGAGATATCTTTAAAAATAACTTTAAAGGGATGTCATGACTGTTTGAATGAAATCACCTTCATCGAGGATAGAATCGGTAGTCTCCTTATCGTAAAAATGTCCACAACCATTGCATGTGGGGAATGTTTCAGTGCATGTCTCGTTCTCAACGCTCTCTACTGAAAACGATATATCTCTGTTTGAAGCATTGGGCAATCAGTTTACGCTAAAAACATTGACGTCAGAAATAATGGTGCGTGTGGCGTGTTTAGCGTTAAATTAAACATACTTGAATGTCGTGAAAGGATCTAAACGAAATATTTCCCCGTCACAGTGTTAAAAATCCCAGATTGTTCATAGAAAACATCAGTTCTGACCTTGCCCCTTGAATCATTCAGCATTACCGTTTAAACAAAAACTGAGTTAACAAAATATTTGCTTGCGAACGTTTGAGAACATAATCTTCAGGAGGCATGTTTATGTCTTACATCAACACAGATTAGCTATGATTTGCGACAAGGAAGAGACTAGAACATGGTAGTTTCTGTGTAATGTGATCATAGAGGATATTGGCAGAAGATACATTATTTTACCACCACTCTCTTAGGATCAAACAGTCAACGACAAAACGTCGTGGTAACTGTCGAGTAGGATCGATGCTCGTTAATATGGCTCCATGTTTTTCTTATGCATGTAATTGACGGCCCTTGCTTCCTGCCCTTTTCACAGCGGCATCAACTTTGCATGACGAACACGATGTGATCACGTAATAAAGTTGAATCAAGACAGTTCTGATACATTTCACAACCTTCGGTCATAAAGAGCACGACACGTGTCGTCATACACTGCCAGTTATATTTCTCCTTGGTAGAAATAAACCCACTGTTCAAGTTACACGTTTATTATAGGCATCGGATAATTAATCTGAATTGAGATCTCATTTTACACTGAGCAACAGCTTGCAATGTATAGCTACCACGTCACAAACAATGGCTCCCTGTGTTTTCGTACTTCGTGTGGACCTTAAACAGCCATTTCAGGCCACAAGCTGGTGTCAATGCAAATCACATTGCTTGCAAAACCTTTCAAGTAACGTAAACATGCACAGGTTTCAATGATCTTGCAATTCTTGAAAACAACACCGACTACCGTTCTATATTAACAGTTATGGATGACGATATACAGTAACTGTATATTGCGCGTATAACATTTTCACATCATTCTTTATGAGCTCCAAGAAACTATTAGGTAAAGAAGCAATGTTTTCTCACTAAAATACTGGCGAGTACTGATTTATCCGAATATATTTATATTTGTTTTTTATGTAATGTTTTGGTTATTAAATTTTACATTTCAGAAACATAACAATGTTTTAAAAAGATTCACCCGTTAGCCATCTGGGTTATTCACATGGACTTCGTGAAGGGTGTTTTATGGGGTGTTTAATAACGACAACTCTGTTAGCTGGAGATTTAATGGAAATATCACGACGTCTTCGTGTTGTGGAAATCTGACACATTATGTCCTATGCCAGGAGTGTTTATAATTATTGTATAGCTACTGTTAC